CATTGTACTGTGCCATTATGAGGTGGTTTCTACTGACTTGCAATGCTATTGTTTGACCTTTAGATTCCAACAATGAAAATCCTCTCCACAAACTAGATTTGAAATTGTTTAGCTGTAGTAATTTCCCATTACACAAGGCTTCCCAGGAACTTATGCTGAAAGAGTCCTGCCATTGTGATGCACTTTCTGATTTCTCGCTCTCTTTTTCTTGTTGTTCCTTTTGCTCTTATAGATAATTGTTTAATAGTTTTCTTGTTACTGGTTGGTGTGTAAGAGCGTTGAGAACTGGTAAAAGGTTTCTGTTTCTCTTCACCACCTTGATGTTCCCAAAATGTCAGATCCTGACCCCAGAACAATCAGGATTCAAACTGTGAGAGAAAAAGTCACAAAGTGCCTTCCCAACCAGCATTTATTATGCTTCCCACATCTGGGACAGGGACATGATGGTTGTCAGTCATCTTTCCAATTCACTCAAAAAGCCAAGTTGGAGAAAGACAGGCACTTCAAACTTCGCTTGTGCAGGAGTGTTTTGGTGCCAAGTTTTCTGACACTGACAGCCTCAAAGTCATCTATTTGTACTGACATCCTTCATCTATGTCAAAAACTCAGGCTATAGTTGTCCCAGTGCCTTACATTTAAAGAGATTATTTCTGGAAGAAAAAGAAATAATTCTTGATGGTCAAAGCATGGTTGCAAAGGCTCTTCCATACCTGCTGTAAACTCAGCACCCAGAGCAGAGCACTCATCATCAATATGGTAGTCTGTCTTGGCACTGGTTTTCAATGGCAAGTGAAAGCCCTCCAATAAAAAATGTGGATCCATCTTCTAAAGATATAGATGTTGTCACCACCTTCTCCTAGATCCTTAAATGTCTGGATTTATGTTCCTTCTTACTTGGAGGCCGCCTCAGCTAATCCCACTTGGATTCCTCCCTGGTGCCAGTTTTGTGGACAAACTTGATCCTTTAGATACTACTTGTCATTTAAGCATTTCAGTTAAGTGCTGTTTAAAAATGTATTAGCTCATGTGTTGGGTTTTTTTAAACACCCTTTCCCCTAGGCTAGATAATCATAGACTCATAGACTTTAAGGTCAGAAGGGATCATTATGATCATTTTGTCTGACCTCCTGCACAACACAGGCTACAGAATCTCACCCACCCACTCCTGTATCAAACCTGTGTCTGAGCCGCTGAAGTCCTCAAATCATGGTTTAAAGATTTCAAGATGCCGAGAATCTTCCAGCAAGTGACCCGTGCCCCACGCTGCAGATGAAGGCGAAAAACCCCCAGGGCCTCTGCCAATCTGCCCTGGAGGAAAATTCCTTCCCGACCCCAAATATGGCGATCAGCTAAACCCCGAGCATGTGGGCAAGACTCACCAGCCAGACACCCAGGAAAGAATTCTCTGTAGTAACTCAGATCCCATCCCATCTAACATCCCATCACAGGCCATTGGGCATATTTACCCCAATAGTCAAAGACCAATTAAATTGTCAAATTAGGCTATCCCATCATACCATCCCCTCCATAAACTTATCGAGCTTAGTCTTGAAGCCAGATATGTCTTTTGCCCCCACTGCTCCCCTCGGAAGGCTGTTCCAGAACTTAACTCTTCTGATGGTTAGAAACCTTCATCTAATTTCAAGTCTAAACTTCCTGATGGCCAGTTTATATCCATTTGTTCTTGTGTCCACATTGGTACTGAGCTTAAATAATTCCTCTCCCTCCCTAGTATTTATCCCTCTGATATATTTATAGAGAGCAATCATATCTCTCCTCAGCCTTCTTTTGGTTAGGCTAAACAAGCCAAGCTCTTTGAGTCTCCTTTCATAAGACAGGTTTTCCATTCCTCGGATCATCCTAGCAGCCCTTCTCTGTACCTGTTCCAGTTTGAATTCATCCTTCTTAAACATGGGAGACCAGAACTGCACACAATATTCCAGATGAGGTCTCCCCAGTGCCTTGTATAACAGTACTAACACCTCCTTATTTCTACTGGAAATACCTTGCCCGATGCATCCCAAGACCATATTAGCTTTTTTCACAGTCATATCACATTGGCAGCTCATAGTCATTCTGTGATCAACCAATACTCCGAGGTCCTTCTCCTCCTGTTACTTCCAACTGATGCATCCCCAGCTTATAACAATAATTCTTGTTATTAATCCCTAAATGCATGACCTTGCACTTTTCACTATTAAATTTCATCCTATTACTATTACTCCAGTTTACAAGGTCATCCAGAGATTCCTGTATGATACCGGTCCTTCTCTGTATTGGCAATACCTCCCAGCTTTGTGTCATCCACAAACTTTATTAGCACATTCCCACTTTTTGTGCCAAGGTCAGTAATAAAAAGATTAAAGAAGATTGGTCTCAAAACCAATCCCTGAGGAACTCCACTAGTAACCTCCCTCCACCCTGACAGTTCACCTTTCAGTACGACTCGTTGTAGTCTCCCCTTTAACCAGTTCCTTATCCACCTCTCAATTTTCATATTGATCCCCATCTTTTCCAATTTAGCTAATAATTTCCCATGTGGAACCGTATCAAATGCCTTACTGAAATCGAGGTAAATTAGATCCACTGAGTTTCCTTTGTCTAAAAAATCTGTTACTTTCTCAAAGAAGGAGATCAGGTTGGTTTGGCACGCTCTACCATTTGTAAAACCATGTTGTAATTTGTCCCGATTACCATTGACCTCAATGTCCTTAACTACTTTCTCCTTCAATTTTTTTTCCAAAACCTTGCATACTACAGATGTCAAACTAACAGGCCTGTAGTTGCCTGGATCACGTTTTTCCCCTTTCTTAAAGATAGGAACTACGTTAGCAATTCTCCAGTCATACAGTACAACCCCTGAGTTTACAGATTCATTAAAAATTCTTGCTAATGGGCTTGCAATTTCATGTGCCAGTTCCTTTAATATTCTTGGATGAAGATTATCTGGGCCCCCCGATTTATTCCCATTAAGCTGTTTGAGTTTGGCTTTTACCTCGGATTTGGTAATATCTATCTCCATATCATCATTCCCATTTGTCATCCTACCATTATCCCTAAGCTCCTCATTAGCCTCATTAAAGACTGAGGCAAAGTATTTGTTTAGATATTGGGCCTGCCTAGATTATCCTTAACCTCCACTCCATCCTCAGTGTTTAGCGGGCCCACTTCTTTCTTTGTTTTCTTCTTATTTATATGGCTATAGAACCTTTTCCTATTGGTTTTAATTCCCTTTGCAAGGTCCAACTCTACATGGCTTTTGGCCTTTCTCACTTTATCCCTACATGTTCAGACCTCAATAAGGTAGCTTTCCTTGCTGATCACTCCCATCTTCCACTCCTTGTAGGCTTTCTGCTTTTTCTTAATCACCTGAGATGCTTGCTCATCCAGCTTGGTCTACAACTTCTGCCTATGAATTTTTTCCCTTCTTGGGATGCAGGCTTCTGATAGTTTCTGCAACTTTGACTTGAAGTAATTCCAGGCCTCCTCCACCTTTAGATCCACAAGTTCTTCAGTCCAATCCACTTCCCTAACTAATTTCCTTAATTTTTTTAAGTTAGCCATTTTGAAATCAACAACCCTAGTCACAGATCTATTTTTGTTTATCCTTCCATTTAGTTTAAACTGAATTAGCTCATGATAATGCCTAAAGGAGAAAGGTGGGTTATTTGCCAGTAACTGAGGTGTCCCTGTTGCAAATCCTATTTAAACCTGCTGTATCTGGCTGGAAGGTGTGCTCCCCTCTAACAATGGGGATCCCTGGAAAGTCAGGGAGCTCTGTTTCATCTTCTCATGGCTCATGCTAAAGAAATGTGGCACCCTTGGGCTCTGGCAATCCTCAGCTGCCTGAATAGCCCCTTGGGGTTACCAGGTAATGCCCTTTAAGGCAGCATTGAGGCTGCTGCAAATTATGCTGAGGACTTGGCCCAGGACTACACACTCCCCCCCACACCCAGCTGCAGCTAGGGATTATTGGATGCATCTGAGAATCAGAGCCACAGAGACTAAATCACACCTTCATAGACATTACCTCCGAATTTGCTCCGATACCTTCAGAGAACACTATTTGCTTATATGTAACTTCACTCTAGCTGAAATTTTCATGTGCCAAATGATGAAAATCAGTTTGCACCTCTCCATCCCCAATGAACTGCTGTTGCAAAACACCCACAAGTTCCTCTAGATCCATGGAAGCTGTAAAGGAAGTTCTACAGGAAAGACACTAGGGACTTTATTCTCAGTACTTTGATGTAATGTACAAGACATAGTGGGTGACTCAATGTAAATGCTGATTGAGTTCTCTCCTTTCCCCACTATGCTGTTCACAGCAACGGATGGGAGGAACCTACCCAAAGCAGAACTTAATATATTTAAGAAATTATTCAGGCAAAGTTTATTTTTACACAAAGCTTATACTAGTAACAGTACCAAAGTTAGTTAGATCTTGAGTTACGTGCTCTGGAAGTGGTGGGGAAGTATGAACTAAACCTCAGTAAATTTAATGTGAACACTGCATTAATGCAATTTCTTCACTCTCTCCTATTCAGGTTATTATAACACCCCATCCCCATGGTATCTAAGAACCTTGGTATATATATCCATACTTGGTAACAGACACTCAGGTCAGAAATTCTCCTTTTTTCTGATCCTTAACAAAATATCCCAGTTACTGGGGAGAGTGGAAACAATTCAAGTCAGAGAAGATTCTTTCATAAATTAGCTGGGAGAGCCACACTCCACCCTCTTCTGAATAAATTAGGTGAAAGCAAGATCTAAGCAGAGCATAGATCAGGGCAGAATAGAGCCCTAAGGCTTACTAGTGTTTTTCACCTATTCCTTCCAGAGTAGAATTATTATGCTGCCACTTCTTAATAAAATCATAATATATCAGTGGTGTCAACAGCATGGCCATGTTAGAATTAAAAGAGAGGATCTCCAAATCCTATTAAAGTAATCTGACTATTCACTTTTTGAAGTGCAAAGTGGTGATTATAGGATACCTTTGTATTTTTCTGTTCCTGCTGCAACTTGTTCTGAAACAAAGAAAACTTGTTTTGAAAATGCTTGACACCCACAACAATCTGTTCTTGGGCACTTGACAAGAGGGTTTGTCCTTTCCTGACCACACCAGCGCTGTCTGTTTCTGTGCAACTCCCTGTAACTAATCCTTAGAAGTGTAAAAGGTACACATCATAACCCTCCCAAAGATAGGAGTGGCCATTTTTCCATAACAGGACAAAGCCAAAGAGACAAATGTTAATGATTCTCTCACGTGTCTGTTTCTTCTTAAACTCCATTTCAATAACTTTCAGGCCCTATCCAATTCAGCTTAATTAATATAAATTAGCTATGTGAATTTATAATTGTAGAGTAAATGGTTACACTTATTCCTATAGTGGATTTGTATTTAGGTCACATTTTGCAACAGCATTCGCTAGAACTGTAACCTGTGATTATACTCTTCCGTACGTATCCCTAAGATCTACAAACAGTAGTTTTGCATTTAACAATGATATAATACAAAAAGTTCACCAAGGTGCTAAGATCATAAGAGAAATGTAACACATACTGAATGGCAGATATGAACATCCATTTAATATACAAGTGTGACATTATACCAGCTCTTTAGCTAAGGTTAGTATTTTCATTTTAAACTTAGACTTGGGACATTAAACATCTCTGCTATTTTTACGCAAAAGCGAATTGAAACTTAATAGACTAAGTTTATATACTTGAAATAATAATTATTGTTAAAATATTTCATTTGCTAACCCATATTTTGAGTTATATTTTATATATTGATATGTATTTCTATAGTGCTCACCACAATAGTACCAAAGTACCTCACATGGTTAAGGATACATTAGCACCTGCATGGTAGAACTCTCATCTCTATCTCTGCCTTTTTAACTGTTTTTTTACAACAATAGGAGCTAGTGGAGGGTATCTTATGACACAGCTATTTGGGGAAAATGATAGTTTAAGCAGATGTATCATGGACTATACTCTAAAAGTGATAGCCAAGATGTTCAAAAGTGACTAGTGATTTGGGGTGGCTTAACTTTGGGGTGCTAACTTACAATACTTTAAATGAACCCAATTTGCAAAGGGTGGATGCTCAGGAGTTCACAAAAGCCAAGTCCTGTAAGACATTAAGTTGAGCACCCAAAAGTTGAGGTAAATTGAAAATCTTGGCCAACTTTATTTGGGTTCAGTAGCATCACAACCTAGAATTCTTCAAAGATTCTTTTATCAGTTCAAATACATATATGCATCCTTTTTAGTATGTATGACTGAATCCACACTAAGCTGTTAGATAGTATGCACCTTGGGACATGGATTATAGCTTTCTCATTGCACATGCTCGTCCATAGGAGACTTTTTGCTGTTACATAAGCACGGTGCTTGATCCCCATGCTTGGATCTGTTTTATGGAACCACCACCCAGAAGCAGATAATCAAACTGTCCATGCGACAGCATGAAGAGTTATTTAGTAACTACTAATTTAACTAGATAGATACACAAACATACAGTGGGGTCCCAGTGTATAATAAAATTATGTGGCTGTGCAGATGGCTGAAAATTTTATATTTTTGCCAAGCTGCCAAATAAATCCACCAAAATAATGCCTGTTCCTGTGCATCCCTGCCTGCCATTTTTCCTTTCTGTCTTCTTCATCTCAATCTGTTTCTTTTGTTCTGTGAGTTCCCTACGAAGAAGAGTTCAATACATTTCTGCTTCCATGTTGCTCCCCTTAAAGGGATAAGGTGGGAGGCATCAAGGACACAGAACAGTTTCTATCCTTAGCTCCATGAAAGAGGAGATTGTGTGGCCAATTGGAGGAGTGGAGGTGAATCAAAGCACACAGTAGCAGAAGAGGGCAAAGAGTTTGCGGGTTCATAGGGAGGTTTGCAGGAAGCAGTAGCCACCATACAAAACTGCTCAAGCTGCTTACACTTCCATTCCAGAGCCTTGCATGACAGAAAACTGTCTCCAAACAATAAAAATAGAAAATATGAGCTCCCTCCTCTCCATCACCACATAAAAGTGTGAACTTCTGAAGCTAATCCCCATAAATCTATGAGGTGCAAACTCTAAACTCCATTCACCTCAATGAAGTGTTGACTTCTGAATTTAACTAGGACCCCTTCACTCCTCCAAAGCTTTTGGTTAGAGTCTATACAATTTCTAATTTACTTCACATCCATGGTAGGAGAAAAAATTGTCACTGAACATGTCTTTCATGGGTTAGCCCATTGTAGAAATGCCAGGTGGCACTGTTCTGCTACAAAGGAAACAATAATAGACATTAGATTTTCATTTTGTTGGCCATTGTTAGAAATATTTCAATAAAACTGCAGGTTACTGAATGATTTTTTTAAGTCAATTCACATTGTCACAGAATTCAGTGTAGCTCAGCCACATCAATTATGAGGGCCTTACTAATATACCACATAGTACAAAAAGCCTAGTTCATCTATCTATCTGAAATAACAAATAAAAAATAAGTACAATAAACTAACTACGTTGAAGGTAAAATGGGTGTAAAGGAAAAGGAGCATGAGGGTTCTGGATTCTCTTGAAAGAGAGGTCAAGGAATTAGTCTGGAGGCTAGGTTTCATCTCCTTATATAACCTTGCATCTCATGTTCAATTCTGAGAGGGGACAAACACATGACCACTGCTTCCAGAGAACTCTGACCTTGGTCCCAAGAGCATGGATCCCTACTGATAATGCAGAAGAATCTAATTGCTGTTGAAATCTAAGTATACATTAAATCACCTTTTAGACAACTATCAAAAATGGATTAAGGGAACTCTAACAAAAAAAGTAATGTTCCTGAATCATCTATAAATACTGTATCTTAAAATCAAGACTCTCTGAGGGTCTATTCTTTTATCGACATTTGTGAACTTACATTTGTGAACTTATATTGCATTAAAACTCATGTGAGCAACACGTATGAGCCCCATTAAACATCAATGGCAGAACAGACCCCCTGCATTTTAAACTGGCTTATCGATGCGTTCTGCCTGGTTGTTCAAATCAGATAAGTATTTCACTTCCTTCGCCTTCTCCCCATGGTATATAAATAGACTTTGTTTACTCAGATGAAGGCTTGTGGTCTTAGATCATAGCAGTTTTACTTCTGCTTTCTTAACTTCCATTTTCCCCAGGGGATTAGTCGGTGCTTAGGGTTCCAACTGTCTGTGAAGATAGGAGTCACTGGATTTTCTCTGTCACTGTGTGAATGTTCAGCTTCTTTGCTAGTGGATCATTTGAAAGATATTCCAGAGTCATCATGGAAGTGTTTTATTTTAATGTAATCTCTCTAAATAAATGCAATACTAATTTAGTGAAAATTCCCAATTGCGTGATCCACACTGTGACAGGCCCACTCTATCTTCTCATTTGCTTGAGGGCCTTAACCACAGCTTTCCCAGTAAACCCATTTGTAAAGATTATCCTCCTTAAAAAGGACATGGTTGATGTATATTTATTATTACTATTGTTTACTTCTGCAGTGCTGCAAGTGCAGACAGTAGATGAACTGAGCCATACTAGTAAATCCCAAACCTGAGGAGCTTCAAGTTTAAAGTTTCAAGTGGTTACAAAACAAAACGGCAGAAACACAGAATGGTGCATGGCAATTATAGCTGTAATGCTTTATTGAACAGGTGTGATTTTTGTAGGAGAAGGAAAGAGCTAGACATGATGTTACTGAGATGCTGTTCCAAGCATAAAAGGCAGTATGAAAAATGTGTGAAGTAAGGAGTGGGGGAGGTGTGGGTAGAACGTATGGAGGAAGACGGGATGTAGGAAGAGATTAGGACAAAGATGTAATCAGAGTCAGAGTTAGATAGCTTTGCAAATGAGATGTCTGAAAGGACTGCAAGAGAAAAGAGGAAGCCTGTACAGAGATTCAAGATAGGTAATTACAGTGGCTCTAACAAAATTTAATTACTTCAGGTACTGAAAAAAAAAGATCAGCCCCTAAAACCAGAAAGGCTAAATAGCAATGCATCGGCGACTAATCGTTGGGGCAGTCAGCCAACCAACAACCCTTGAAGGTGGGTTTACTTCAGTGTGGATGTGCATAGTCAAACCATTCCCTTTGCTCTGCCAGTTTGGCTCCATTCTGATGAGCAAAGGCAGGTTACTGAATTATATAGGAATTCTGCTTGGGCATTCACAAGAACAGAGCAAGTATTCAGAGAGAAAAGGGATGAGATGAGATCCGTGAAGAGTCATAGAAATGTAGGGGTGAAAGAGACCTTGAGAGGTCATCAAGTTCAGTCCCCTGCTCTGAGGCAGGACCTAGTAAACCTAGCCCATCCCTGACAGGTATTTATCCAACCTGTTCTTAAAAACCTCCAATGATGGGGACTCCACAACCTCTCTTGGAAGCCTATTCTAGAGCTTAACCACCCTTAGTTAGGAAGATTTTCCTAATATATAAACTAAATCTCCCTTGCTGCAGAGTAATCCCATTACTTCTTGTCCTACTTTCGGCGGACATGGAGAACAATTGATCTCTGTTCTCTTTACAACAGCCTTTAACATATTTGAAGACTGTTACCAGGCCCCCTTTCAGTTTTCTTTTCTCAAGACTTAAGAGGCCCAGGTTTTTTTTAAACCTTTCCTCACAGATCAACTTTTCTAAACCTTTTATCATTTTTGTTGCTTTCCTCTGGACTCCCTCCAATTTGTCCACATCTTTCCAAAAGTATGGTGCCCAGAACTGGACACAGTACTCCAACTGAGGCCTCATCAGTGCTGAGTAGAGCAGGACAATTACTCCTCATGTCTCACATACAACGCTCTTGTTAATACACCCAGAAATGATATTGGCCATTTCACAACTACATCATATCACTGACTCATATTAAATTTATGATACACTATAATCCCCAGATCTTTTTCAGCAGTACTACTACCTAGCCAACAATTCCCCATTTTGTAGTTATGCATTTCATTTTACCTTCCTAAGTACTCTGAACTTGTCTTTATTGAATTTCATCTTGTTCATTT